ATCCCAAAGAATTTCCGTATTTGAAAACTACTATACAGTGTCCATTTTTTCCCAATTTAATAAACACGGATTATGAGATATAATCTGATTCCAAGTGATTAAATAAACACCTTAATGAAACATATTGATTCTATTTTTCAGTGTAAGAATAAAGCAATGTACAATTGTTATCTCCTATTCTTTTTGCAATGTCATTCAGCAAGAGTTAAACTCTGCATGGGATTATCTAGTGCTTGTTTTAATGGACCCACATTCCCCCCCCTCATGTGAATTATGTACAATCATAAAGAAGACAAATAACAGGTTGATGAGTCACAGATGAAAATATCTGTCTGAAATATATAGGATTCTTTTTGCCAGGAACAACAACTGAGAGGGATTCACAGGCAGCATGAAGGTGACCTACGCTGAAATGACTAGTGACAGCGAGAAGTTAAAAATGGTACTCAAGCCAAAAAAGAAAACAAAGAAAACAAAAGTAGCATACAGTACATATGATTCCTTCAAATATTCCTTATCTTAGCAACAGCAAGTTTTGGAGATTTTCTCTTGTATCTTAGCAGTCTTGTTATACATCCTAGGCATATCTGCAACATGCTAAAACCTTCTTTTTCCTACAAACAATTTAAGACAATCTGCTTGGCTTTTTCCTATGAGGGATAGCCGATAATACTGAAATAGGCCCATAGAGTTGGCCATCTTTTCCTGAGACCACACAGCAATTGAAGAAAGTCATAATTCCAAGAAAAGATGCTGTACCTTTAAGAAATTGCCAACAGATTCAGATAGTCAACTAGACTTTGTTTTTTTCTTGAAGACGCTTTGCTACTCATCCAAGAAGCTTCTTCTCGAACTGAAGAAGCTTCTTGGATGAGAAGTGAAACTTCTTCAAGGAAAAACAAAGGAAGTCCAATTGCCTCTGGAAAAAGGCACCTTTGGGACAACTGTGATCTGGATGACTGAGAATCTCCATAGACACAACTCTACCATTAAGTGAACTGGTTGCTAAATGAAACTACAACTCTTAATGATCTTACATCAGCTTAATGATCTTACATCAGCTTTCTTTTGCTCTATAGACCTGCAAAGGTCATAAATATGAGGATTGGTTGCAAAATTTCTTTTTCATCACGCAACTGTGAATGGTCTCTTAATATGGGCAAACTGTACTTTGTGAGTGCTCAGTGCATGCCAAAACATTTTTCAGTGGTGCAGTGGTTAGAATGCAGTACTGCAGGCTATTTCTGCTGCCTGCCGGCTGCCTGCAGTTCAACTGTTTGATTCTCACTGGCTCAAGGTTGACTCAGCCTTCCATCCTTCCAAGGTTGGTTAAAATGAGGACCCAGATTGTTGAGGGCAATATGCTGGCTCTGTAAACTGCTTAGAGAGGGCTATCAAGCACTGTGAAGCAGTATATAAGTCTATGTGCTAAGTACTATCTTTCTCCATTTAGACCTGAATCAGAATGCTGCATAATTCTGCTATATAATGAGGATTTGAATCTAGTCCAATATTCCAATACTGAGTAGTGTGTCAGTTTTGGAAGACAGTTTTTTTTTTGCTTCTTAACTGCTACATATTTTACCTGGGGAAGTTGGGAGGGGGTTGTTGTTGGAGCGGTAGAAAGTTAGTCATAACAACATTCCGTATTCAAGAACTTTTGCCTGCGTTTGATGGAGACTGCCGGAAGATTGTATTCAATTGACTGTGAAGAGTTGATTGGACAACGTGATGAACTTGTGGGTGTGGGGCAGGGCTGTGAACTGTTAGGTGGGTGGAGAAAACCTGGAAGCTTTCGGATTTGGGTTTTCCCAGATGTGCCAATATGACATCTTTAGTAAATTGGAACTTTGAGGAACCTCAGGCCTCAAAGCTTTATTTCACTGGGGGTGTTCCTTGGAACCCTGACATTGTGAGCTTGTCATTAATATCAGCACAATCAGATTAATTTTTTTTAAAAAAATAGTATTTATTGAAATTCCAACATATAAAACACACATTATATAAAAAAAACACAACACAAACACACACACACACACACACACACACACAAAGACATAACAAAAGTTTTTTGGTTTTTTTTGTTGTGTTGTGTTTTTTTTAAAGATTAATTTTTCTACACAAGTGATATTATTTTTGATTAAACATTTTGACTGCCTATAGAGGTGTGGTTATTGGGTGATTTAGAAATCCATTTAATTAAGGAAAAAAAAATAAGAATGGTATTTTACGTTATTTAAGTGAAAGGCTATAACTCATTGGTAGTACACACATTTTAAATTTAAAAGGTTCCATGGTCCTTGGCTAGAGCTTACTGAGATACAGTCCAATGGACTGATCTGATATTAAGCAGGGGACGATTGTAGCTTAGTATTTTTGTATTTAAAAAATCCAGATGGCTACTAGATGGCAGCAAAATTAGACTTTTCTTTGTCTTTCATGCCACGTAGAGGGTCTCTAAATTTCTGCAGCCCACAACTGATAGACCTTCTGTAGCTCAATGTTTGAACTCACATTTTATAGGAAAAAGTTTCCAGATTCCATTTTGGATAACTTTAAAAAGACTCCGATGCTGGAGAGTAACTTCCAGTCAGCGATTATATTACGTGGAAGAAATAAATGGCCTGATTTGTTACCTGGCATGTTCCTATGCTACAAATTCTTTTGGATTTTCTTTTATGTTAGCATGATGTCTCTGGATCCACTACAAATAAATCTTAGAGATGATCCAAAGGGGCTGTTGCCAGTTAGTCCTGGTAAAATGAAAATTAGAAAACATTTGACACTTGCCAATGTTATACAAGAAGAGAGTTGTTACCTGCTCGGAATAGACCATTCATGAGACATTCAAACGGATGCAACTTTCAACACCGGGGCATTTGATAAGGCAATTCTAAGCAGAGATAAGAATTAGGAGGGTCCAAAATATTAGGGAAACGAAGCACACAAGGAGCTTAAAACTGGTGCCTTGATTGAGGTCTTCCTTTGAAAGTGTCCTGCAAGCAACCTGATCTTACCAAACATCTGCTTTCAAATTGGGTAGACCAAATGCAAATTAATTTTCCTTGACTTTGCAATGTATGCCCTCTCTTTAGATCACATGACTGGTAAGGCTCTGTGCTCTTTTTAGCACCTGTTTTCTCTTCAGGAAGTTGACCTTAGCAGGTCATTTCTGATATATTTTCACTAACTGGAAGCCTATTCCAACTATGGCTTTTTTTCTTTCTTTTCTGTTTTGTAATCTCCACTGAATTTTTCCTCTGCTGTTTTAATCACTAAACTAATAATTTAAAACATTAAAAATTAAAAGCCTCCTGGAAGTGTTATTGCTATTGAATAGCTGCATCAAAATTCTTAAAATAAAATCCAGCCTTGAAAAAAATAACTAATTCTTCTAAAATCAGAGAGGAATTAGTACCAACAGAATTTGCTGGGAAACCTTCAGGAAATGTTTTAACACATTTCAGCCAGCATAGTTTCACCTTCCGGTTTCTAAAATTTTTTGCCAGAGTCATGGACAATGATTTTAATATATTCATAAACTTCTGTTATGCCCTACTTGTATCTTGGATTTTCATGGTTGTCTCTTTTTTTATATATGTAACTTATTTCACTTATTGTCTTCTTGCATTGGAGTGATGTGTCAGCTTTAGTTGGGGTTGCCAAGCCAATTATTAAAAGTAAAACTGTGGTGCACAATTTGAATATAAGCCATTTTATTTTTAAACTCCAAACTTCTTATGAATTTGAAAACTAGGAAAGACCTGACTGTCATATCCCTAAACGGTCCTTGTGATGAATCAACTACTATTAATACGATGCAAGTCTAGGTCTCAGGAAAGATCCTCACATCCTAGCTAATTACTAATCTGACAAATTATCCTTCTTATTCACTATCACTTCTTTTTGACCTACCATGAATCATTAAAAAAAAAGCGTGATTGTATTTGCGAGACACAGCCAGCTTGTCCTGAATTAACCTAGTGTTCTGGAGAATCCTATGCTGGGTTTCTCAGGGGTTTTGGGTTGAGAGCAAGAGCTCAGATGTGCTGCAAGAAGGATGCCACCTCTCTAGCACTGTGGGATAAAGCTGTCCCAGGAATTTCAGCTCCAGCTGATTTTCAGAATGGCTGGGATCCCCAGTTCTCTTGGGCAACAGGCCATTTCAGCATATGGAAGCATTCTTGGGTGGGGCCAAGGCAGTGGTGAAATGCAACTTTTTTTACTATCGGTTCTGTGGGCGTGGCTTGGTGGGTGTGGTAGGGGAAGGATACGCCAAAATCTCCATTCCCACCCCACTCCAGGGGGAAGGATATTGCAAAATCCCCCTTCCCACCCCACTCTGGGGCCAGCCAGAGGTGATATTTGCTGGTTCTCCGAACTACTCAAAATTTCCGCTACCAGTTCTCCAAACTGCTAAAAATTTCCGCTACCGGTTCTCCAGAACCTGCTGGATTTCATCCCTGGGTTATTTCACCCCTGGGTTATGCCAGGGCAGCTCTAGCTTGCTACTTGGGAGGGAGCGGAAGAGGCTGAAGCAGTTCCCCTTCATGCTGAGGACTTGTGTGAGAGCCCCGCGTCTTTAAATTAGCAGTGGGAATGAAACAGCAAGGAAGGCACCGAAGAACCTTACAGGTTAGGGAAAACCAGATGAATGACAGGCGTCTTTCTCTGCTGCTCCTGAGCCTCCTTCCCAGGGTGTAGAGAGTTACCCTCAAAGAGGGATGGCCCGAGAAAAAGGCGTCTTAGCGCTCCACTCTCTTCCCCACCTATCCCCTCCCCACCTCTCTTCCCCCCTTATCACTCAGCCTCCTTATCACTCAAGACGGAGGGCAGCGACAAGTTGGTCAGATGCTTGGATAACAGCCTCCTTCCCGTTCACTTGCTCGGTTCTTTCCGAGATGCTTTTACCTCCCTCTTTGGGGCGGGAGGGGGGAGGGCGGGGGTGGTTTAGACCGATCCATTAAGATCCAAGAGGGGAGGGGGGGAAATCCAGCACCCAACCGGTGAGCTCGCGGGGGCCCGCCTTCTCCTCTCCGGCAAGCCGAAGCTACCGAAGGCGGCAGGGGCGTCGACGCGACGGAGCCGAACAAAGATTGAACGTCAAACTGGGCGGGAGCTTGCGAAGCCCCACGGGAAAGGGCCGTCTGAGCCGGGCATCATCCCCACGGAAAGCACGTGGGCTCTTCCAGGGTAGCAGGTTCTGACCGCTGCTAGTGCTTGCACTGCTGTGTCGCCGCTCTCGCTGCTCGCTCGCTCTCTCTCTCTCTCTCTCTCGCTGCTGCTGCTCCGAGCAGCGGCCAAAACAAGCGCTTTAAGTTTGAAGGCTCTGATGCTCGAAAGAGAACTGGAGCCAGGCTTTGCCGTGCGGGGTCTCCACGGAGAATACAGCGCGATCAGCCCCGATGGATGTCATGGTAGGCGTTTGGGTTTGCCTGGCAGCGGCCAGAACAGGTAAGAGCCGGGAAAGGGGGTGGTGTGGGGGTGGAGGAGGACTGGGGGGGGGGATCTCCGCCCCGGCTTCTCGCACGCCACGGAGATGGGGGTGGTGGTGGGTGAGGACCGGAATGGGAGAAAAGCTTTTGCAAAGAGGCGTCTTGGTACCGGCGGGGAGGATGCTCCAGGGGGAAAAAACACACACACACACACACGCAACAACCCTGGAGTAGGAATCGGGCTCTCTAAATGCAAAGACAATAGGTAGCCGGTACACGGCGGGGAGGATTCCGCTCACCTCCTTTCTTTTCTTTCGCTCTGCCTTCCCCCCCCCCACCCCCACTCCCCGCTTTCTCTACAAAGTAGGGTCGTGTGGAACCGCGTTTGCGCTCCCCCGCGAGTTCGCGAGGTAATGTGGGGGATGCGCGTTAGGGATGGTAAGCAAAGGGATGGTGGGGGGGGGGGAGGGGGAGAAAGGAAGGAAGGAAGGAAGGGGTGGAGCGTTTTTATTTGAAATAAAATAAAATAAAATAACTCCCTTCCCCCCCCTCAAATAAACTGCCGATGGCTTGGAAAAGTGGGGTGTGTGTGTGTGGGGAATCAAAAAATAAAAATAAAATAAATAAGCGGCGCCACAAGAGCGGCCGAAGGATCGCGTGGAGTGGCTTCAGAGGGGACTTCGGCGCGTCGCCCTGGAGCCCCTCCGGGGTTCTCGTCCTTGCCAGGCGGAACTCGGAAACTTTGCCTCGTAATGGCATTTGTTCTCGGGAGTACCGGGCAAAACCCCACCCTGGCGGAGAGGGGGGTCAGAAAGCCCCGCGCCGGGGACACGCGAGAAAGGGGAGCCACTTGGGGAAAGCGGTGCGTGCTTGGATGCAAAACCTCTCTGATCAGCCACATGGTCCCTGTTCTATATCCCCCCCCCAAATTCCGGGCTTTTATTTCCTTCCTTCCTTCCTTCCTTCCTTCCTTCCTTCCTTCCTTCCTTCCTTCCTTCCTTCCTTCCTTCCTTCCTTCCTTCCTTCTTTCTTTCTTTTAATGACCGAGTCTTTTGCTAAGAGGCACCAGGCCAGCGGCAGCCTGATCTTTCTTCTCCTGCTATCCTAAATGCCCTGTGGGGCCAGCAGGTGAAGATTACCTGTCAGTGGCAAATCAGATCCTCGGGGAGGATTGAAAGCAAGAGAGCGTTCCTCTCCACACCCCCCCGAACATTAAGGGAAGGTTATGCCGGAGAGAAGAAGCAAAGTGCCAGTTTCTTTGCACGGGGCTGACACTCTTTTATTGTCTCTTCGCTCAGCCGCTTAACAAGCAGCTGCCTCCCTCGTTCTGGGCTGTTCCGGGAGGAGGGGAGATCTGTGGAAGGGAAGGCGGGGATAGGTGGGAGACGGAGGGGGGGTTGGGGGGGTTGAGGGGGAGATCGCGCAGATACAAGACCGGCTGGAGATCTGGGATGCGGGGATGGCACTCCATTCAAATGGCCTTGCGAGTGTTGGGGGCGGAGACTCACGCCCATCCCTCGAGGAAATCTGGTGCTGAAGCTTGAGGGAACGGCGTGGTTTGACAAGCAGACTCCGGTAGCGCAGATCTGACACTTGGCTTTACAATTATTTTCATCCCCTTAGCTTCAGTTGGAGACGTGGGGGTGGGGGGATGGGGAGGAGGGGCGGGGAGGGGAGGGAGTTTAAATCCCCAACCAAGATGACTATCTTCCATTGGCTTTTCTTTTGTGCTCTCGAAAAGAGCCCCATCCATTGTTTCATCCAAGAAGAAAATAAATAATCTAAAGTTTAGGGATGCTTCCCCCACACTCCCCAGTTTTCTGCTTGGTGGGGTTTTTATTTTTATTTTTTACAGAAGATGAAAAGGCATTTACCAACTTGGTGGGGAGATGAGACATCTCTCATTCTTCACTTGACAGAGAGCAAAAAGCAAATGAAAGAAGAAACAGAAAAACACTTCCTTTGCTTTTGGCCAAGTGATTTTTAAACCAAGACTAAAGGAAGAAATTTCCCCGAGTCCTTTACGGGAACATGTTGGCCTCTGAAATATTTACTTGGGTAGACTTCTCTAAGGCATAAAATGACTATATTCTTTCCTCTCTGCTCTCACCCCAACTGTCTTATTATGGATGAACTTCATTTTTTTTTTACCTGATTGTCTTCTAGGGCATAGAAGGTGTGGCTGGGAAAGTAAACAAATACATTACAAAGAAAAAGAGTCTGTGTTGAGTGTAAAGAACTGGATGCTTTTTGGGGCAACAGGATGCAGATCAAGTGAATGGGCACACAGGAGTTGCTATAGTTGTGCCTTTCCCCAAATATTTGCAGCTTACAGTAATTAAAAGGCTCTCATTTTAGTTTGTATGCTCTGGAGCAATATGCCTTTCCCATGGCAAAATAAATAAGGGGGGGGGGGAAATCAGAAAATATTTAACCAAAACAAATAAGCTAAAACCAACAACCTTGCTGCTTAGTGAAAATAATGTATGCTAGTGGTTTGTTTTTAATCTTTAAGTTTGTTTATATTTGGGTTTTTTTCTTAAAAGGGTTCTTAATTTAGCTTTGGGTGATTTTTGAGGGAAGTGTATTTAGAGATTTCCTTCACACATTATATTATTGCTTCTGAATCTACAGTGTAGCTCTATAGGCTATGGTACTTACTAAACTGTGTTAAATATAACTGTTTTTACATCCTAGAATACAGCACTTTTTAAGGAACAGGCTGGTACTCTTACCGAGGTGTACTGCAGAGCACATCTTCTGCGGATAATTTAGCTCTTATACAGTAGAAATGTACCTTACATTTTATACTCCAAACTATAGAACTGGAGGAGCAATTATTTTATATCCCTCTATACTTAAGATTTCTACAGTCAAGTATTTATTATTCATATTTGCACCTGTATTCCAATCACTGCACAGGAAAACTAGCTAGGATCTTGGGTAGCTCTCATTGCTTTTCAAATGAATCAAATGGAGTTGCTGTACTTTTTATACTGAGAAGTGAAAGATTGCAAAACTGATAAATATTAAAAGTATTTAAGAAGCTGGACTGTGTCAGAAATTTTTTTGGGGGGGGTCTAAATTCAGTTGCAACTGCTATTCATTTTGGTTAAGGGACACCAATAGCAGTGTTTCACTGGCAATGAATTGTATGTCCTTTGATGAATAAATCACCCCTTCAACTTGTTCCTGAGTTTTGCAAATTGGACCTAATTAGCAATCAGGTCCTAATTCTGAGGACTGCATGGAAGTGTGGCCTGGCTGGTCTAGTTAGATGAAATATTTCTCATTCATAAAATCACTACCTAAGTTTGAATTGGGGCTTTTGAACCTTGCAAGAGGAACTAAATTTGGAAAGAAGTTTCATCAAACTGCTCAGGAGTGTATAAAGAATAGTGAGTTCTAATGCATTTACACTGAGATCTCTCTTCACAGGTTTTTATATGCTGTATTTGAAATCTGACCTATAGTTTTAAGGTATGAATGCATGTATAAATTGAGCCAAAACACTTTTGTGACAGTCATGTTCTATGTCAGGGAATGGTTAATAAAAGACATTAAGATAATGCATTTCTAAGGCATATGATACCAATAGGTTATTTTCTGGCATTGCATCTTGTCGATATTAGGAATTACCTGGCTCAATCTTATGATAGCTTCTAATACTTTGACCATGAATTAGTCAAAGTCTTTTCTTTTCTTTTTGCAAAATTAGATTAATCAGATTGAACTGAAGAAGAAAGAGAAAGTCAGGATATGGATTCTTAGGATCCTATATCTGCAATTTTTAGAGCAAATCATTTTCCATTTAACTGCTCCTTTTGATTTATAAGAAGAAAAATGAATTTAGTCATCTATTTATTCTACTGGATGCAGATGAAATAGCCATATATGTATCTGTTTAAGATTTGATAGGAGATTTTAAAGCTTCAGGGAAGAAAGCAGACGTGGCCGTGCAAACTGAAGCTGCAGCTTTGGGTTGATTAATTATTAATCAACACAATCATCTAGGGATTGGACTAGATGCTCTCATAGGTCATTTCTAAACCTTATGTTCTATGATTTTATGATTACTTTAACCCCACTGTCCAAATTGCTTATTTGCATGTATATAGACACAAGCACACACATACCACAGTATCAAAAGCCAGCAAAAGAGGACTGAGTAGGCAAAAGTTCTGGAGTACAGTATTCATGGTCAGCCGAAGAGCTTAATCTTGAGTTGACTTAAGGTTGCCCTTTTTAATTGGACAAAATCACAGAGTCTTGATTGCATTCCTATAATTTTATAGACTTGACATAGTTCTTTTAAATGTTGCAATTTCCTTGATGCAGAGGAAACTTTATCTAGGGAGATATATAGGCAATAGTTAAAGCAGTGTTCCCACTTTGGTGAATTTGCATATTGAATGGTAATTACAAAACAGATCTTATAGAAACCTCTTGAGATTTCTTTTTAAATGGTTGGAATTATCTTCCCTAACCATTTCCCAATAATATCCCTTAAAGCTTGATTATTTCCTCAGATTTTGCAAACTGGAAATTGTCCTCTCTTACTGTTAATTCAATGCAAAGGAAGCTTCATTGACTGACGGAAGAAAATGATGTTACCTAGAGATTTTCAGCAGTGGATACCACAATTGGGAGACTGTGACTGGAGTTACATTTAAAGACGTTACCGTGTTGGTATCCTAAACATAGATATAGCACAGTTGTGGTGATTTTGAATGCTGCCGATTCGAGAATTCTCTGTGGGGAGGATGGCTGCAGTTCCATCATGCCGTCATTTACTTTATTAGTAAAGTATTGAGCTAAACATTTCCTGAGACCCTACATTATATTCTAGGTAGTAGACATTTCCTTCTAACCTACACATGAAAATCTACTTGACTCAGAATTGTTCTTGTCTAGACGTGCTTAATTCTGCAGCCAGAGATTTTTCTGGGTAATTCTACTCCATTCATATAATTTAATCTCTTTACAACTTTGAAGGCCTATTTTCCATATTGTTGTCTC